TGACAACCCTATTTCGCTCCTTACCTTTGCGCCTACTACGTACCCCTAGCGTGCTGGTTGTAGTATGTCCCTCTTTAGGGTTTTTAGATTAGGCTCCAGCCATTTGCGTATTTTTGCGCGTCATGTATCCGTCAATGCATGTATATTTCTGTTCCGCTGGTTCTTTACTTTCCAGAAACATCGCTCCTCGACAAGGTTCAGTTCGTTGAAAACCGAAGATTACGAAAGTGGACAGGCCAACCCCAATACGAATCCCCACTGGTCGAAGGAAAAGGAGTCTTTGAGGAACAGGCAGGACCTTTATTGTATTCCATCTTGTTACAGATTTCTGTTGCGCTTCCCTTTTTTCTTTGGGCTGTGTTTGTTCGCGCCTTAGACTGAGGTTGGAACCGTTTTGCGCTTTTCATGTCCAGCAGGCCTTATTGCGTTTTGCTGCGGAACTTTATCACGTTTCAGGGCCTATTCCTTACTTTTGCATTGTTGGGTCAATCAACAGAATTTCTGCTTTATGAGCGCGCATGCGCTGAGATGGACTGCAGCCATCTTTCACGCATAGACACTGAGCTTAGATCATAACGCACTCGTTTATTAGCTCTTTTTTTTCTGTTGTAGCTAGTCTGGACGCACTGTAGTTCGCGCAAAACTCAATTCTGCTTTCTGGCCCAAAAGCGCATTAGATTTAGGCAGCGATTATGTTTTCTTGCTAAATGTTTTATCTCAGCTGAATAGCAATCCCCGTATTTAGGTTCCGCGCCTTTGCCACCTTCTCAGTCTATGTCCCAGCCAAATCAAGGTTTCCTCTTGCTCGTTGTGATTTCCACGCACCGCAAGCGCTTTACCGTTGTTATTCATCGCGTTGGTTGCTGCACGCGCGCTTTTTTCCCTACCATCTGTATGTAGCGCCAATGTCATGCCGCACTTCTTGCACTCACCTGACTTAGGTTCGCCTGCGCGTCCCCTTGCCGCGGGAGGCTGGACTAACGTCCATTCTGGAGCGAAGCAGCGTAGCGTGTGATTCTTTGTGCCTTAGAAAATGCAGCTTGCGTTTGCGCGTCCTTAATTTTGTTCAGAGTTGCGCGCTAGTGGGGTTTCGGAAGGCACTGGCTGTGATGCAAGGACTGTTTTTATCGTACGACGGGTACAATATGGTAAGCATGGTTCCATTATCTCATCTTTTGACCTCGTAAAGTTGATGTGTTACAGCGTAAGCCTATGGGTCTTGGCGCGTCTTGGTCAAATGGAACCACATTTGCGTAGTCGTGCGTTTCATGGATATGGTAGTTCTGGTCAACTAGCAGCAGCCTTTGCCTACTGTACATAGTTTGATCATATTTAGCACCTCTGTAGTGGTAGTAGTTTTGGTAGTATTTAGTCATTTAGTCATTTTTCATGTTGATATTTACCTGATCACATTCTTGTTTTTGTTATACTTATCTCACTTCATATAATACCCACTTCATGAGTACATTAATCCCTTTTCAGCTTGATACTCTAATCAAGTTCGTGCGCCCAGTATTAGGTTTTAGTATTCATTTTTGCGCACAGTAGCTCTTCCTTTGAGTTGTGGATGTTTTATGCTTCTCGCACGAGACGGGTTATCTTCAGCCTATATACTTTTGCCGCGCTCTTACTGTGCTACCGATGGATATTTACTCAATTCTTTTTCAATCTATCGTCCAAAAATTTCGGCTAAAGGCATTAACCGCAGATCCCCGGTGCTATCACGTAACCACCTCTCGAACGCCCAAGCCCACTGCTTCTGGGGGGAGTGTCGCGGCTCCGCGATGCGAGCGCTCCTAGAAGTAGGAGGCCGGGAGCACTGGTTGCTGCCGCGCTACACGGCGACGATAACGGCACTTTCTTACGTTCGCCGCAATCGTTGCTGGACCTCTCCTCGCCTTGGCGCGTTGCCAGCCAAAAGGCTATATATAGCGGCGGCGCCTCATTGCAGCGTCTGTTCGCTTTCGTTTTCAATCAATTATCTTTTCGTATGTTTTCCATTGTGATCGTGCCTGGCAGTTAGCTCCCGCCTTTGATGTGTCTTTTGCGTTAGCGGTCGAGCGATCGGAAGTTGTATTGGATTGAGATTCAAGTCAGATTTGGGATTCTTTTGGACGAGCTACTTTTGAAACCTTTGGGATTTGATATCTTGTAAGCTTCGGGAGCGGAGAGGTGTCGCGCCTGGTATCCGGCGACGCGTGGCGGATCTGTATAGGTGAAGCCTCGGGAGCATTAGCATGTTTAGATGTTATATAGACGCGCAACATCGGTAGCACGGGATAGGGCACCCTGTTCCGTGTTGGATCTTTCTTCTTTAGTTGTAGTTTAGTATTCTAGCGTAGAGTTTTGTTTCTTTTTGTGTTTTAAGGATAAACTATAAGTAATTTAATATTGTTTCTTCACGCGCTATGGCAAGCAGTAGGCTAGGATGCGTCGTATGTTTTAAGCGGGCGAGCGTGCGGGTGTCTCGGGTAAATCTAGGTGCTCAGGGCCCACCGAGCCGCCACACTAATATCATTGTCCCAAAAGTTCCATCCGTTTTAACTTTCAATCGCAATACATTAACTTTTTGGTTCCAGACAGGATTTAAGGTACTATTTGGTAGAGCAAGGCAATCTCTACATGATGCCTTTCTTACTTTCGCACCACTTTGAATCCATGTCGAGTTTAAAGACCAAATAGATTCAACCGCCCGAAAATTAAAGAAAAAAATCGTAACTCCTTCCAAAAAATTTCTAAAAAGTTCCTAACTTGCTCACAGATACGCTATCCACATCAGTCATTTATAAATACTGTTCCTGTATTTCTTCCTTGAATAGAAATCGAGAAAATGAAAATTTTCATGTTCTTGCCAAAGTGATGCTGTGCTGTCCCCACGTTGGTATTTGTATACTACAGACCAGTACAAATACAGACACAAGTTTTCAGCGCTTTACAGGCTTTCGTTCTTGAGAAAGCTAGCTTTGCACAGTGTCAGACTCCCATATTAAGACGATTATTTCTCGAGAACTACAGCTTGTAGAGTGCTGAAAATATGAGTCTGTACTTGTACTGGTCTATAGTATACAGCTATTAGTGTAAGAACAGCACAGCCATCACTTTGGCAATAACATAAAAATTTTCGTTTTCTCGATTTCTATTTGAGGGACAAATACAGAAGCAGTATATGTAAATGGCTGATGTGGATAGCGTATCTGTGAGCAAGCTAGTAATTTTGTAGGATTTTTTTGGAAGGAGTTACGATTTTTTCTTTGATTTTATAAATCGGAAACTAAAAACAACTGGTAGAAAAAGAAGAAAAAGCTGCATCGAATGACGCCCGAGTTGCTAGCCTGATGTTGTTCCATGAGTTTTGAGTTGATCAAATGTTGAATTTGATACATTAAGAAATGATTATGGAGATTTCAAGAAACAAGCTAAGGAAAAGGAAGAATTTGTTTGTGTACTGTACAACTCAAACTACTCGGTCTTCTTCGAGGGATCGCTATTGAAATTTTGAAAATAGCGGAACTTGGTCATGGTGGAATGCATAGGTCGCAGATCTTGGGAATTTTTCAAGAGCTCATTGGCTATACTGCAATGAATTCATAATCATTAGGAAAAAGGTAATGCTGCCGGACAACCAAAATCTCTTAGAAATCGTTGCCCTCGAAATATGGCACTCATTTGAAAAAGCGATATTACTTTTGGAACGAGCTAATACTATTAGGTTGGCTAATAAATAAGTTCGGTCGCTTTTGCAGCTCTTACAAATGCTGTAAACAAACTTTTGTCCAATGCTTGGTATCTCTGAGAAGAGAACTTCACTGGGTATTGGAGCATATATTCTGTTTGAGTAAAACTTAACTTATTTTTCAAGGAAAAAAATCCGCCAAGAAGTGAGAAAGCGCAATTTTCTCATAATGCGCAATTATGAGGAAATTTCGTTTTCTTAGTGAAACATTTTCAAGGTGGCAGATCACAGTTCTTTTTGTTGTTCAACAAATAGGGAAAACTCCTTTGCATCCAAACACCAAACTGCTGTTGTTTACATACATTACAGCATGAAAACAAAGCTTAGAAAGTCAATGTATTGAGCTTTTGGAAATTTCGTCACGTTGAGGCATAACTGTCTTTACTGACGACAGAAAATGCTGATTATTTGATATGTGATAGAGAAAGCTTCGATCTACTTTCCCACAAAGAATCATAGTTTGTGAACAACAAGTTTTTTATGATGATTTGTATGCCAAAACGAACTTTTTTTTTAGTCAACCTAATATTATACGTAGGACATTTAGATGGTGTAGATCACGTCAAACCGCTTTTGCAAAAAAAAATGATGTGCCATTCCGACAGTTCAGAAAAGACCCGTAATTATATGTTCTGAAATGATTGCATTGAAATTAATTGAGTGCTCTAAATAAAACGTCAAGTATATAAAGTCATAACTTCAAATTTTATGGCTATCATGAAATGGTTTCAATTCCAAACTCTGACTATTGTGTACTTGTACACTTTCTTTTTTCCAAATGATTTGAATTATTACATCATCGACATGAAATTGTTGCGATGAGATAAAGGGTGTTAATAAGATTTGTCGATAGCGTCATTTGCAAAGTTCTAAAGGCAAGCACAGCTAAGCACTGAACTGCCACTTAATAGAATTACAGAAGTGGTATTTTATGTGAATGTATTTATTTTTGAACATAATGGAATTACCCTTTGCACTGACGCCATACAGCATTCAAGATATCTCTGACTAATTTTTGTTTAGGTCTACACTGCAGAGCATACTTTGCTCAATCAGATGCACTGCGGAGTTACATAAGCATGTTGCTTTTTTTGCTCTAACGCCCTTATTCTAGACTCCGCCTTGCCAGTCAGGACATGAATTCTTGTAACGCATCAGCACTGCCTTGCATTTCAAAGTAGGCAAGTGACAATCATTTGCATACCAGTCAAATAGCCTATACTCTCTAAACCTCTTTTCACTCCTTCGAAGACATCCAAGTACCTACCACATTCCTGGCTAGCATCACTTCATCTCCCAGTCGTTCGAAAATTATTTCAAACTTTGGATCTGAAATGATATGTCAAAGCCGCTCAGCCGAATTTAGATTCATGAATTTATAAAATCAATCATTTCCCGAAAAATTTTCTTTTTCTACTACGGTAACGCAGCTTTCACAGGTACCAATGGCAGTCCGAGGGGTGGGGGGAGAAACGGTCCCCGCCCCCCACCCCCAAGAATGGGTCACGATTGAAAGTTACTTACATGGGTTAAAAAGTGAGTAACTGACTAGTTGAAACTTGTAAATAAATGATATGATAAAAAAATTTGAAAATCAAATTAGCCTTGCGAAAGAGATCTTACTAAGATGTGGCTGTCGCACTGACCCAGACGTTCTAGCACATTCACAGTCTCGCGCTGCGTCAAGTCCGCTGCATGTGCTGCACTCGCCGTATGTAGTATGGTAGGAATCATCAATTGTTCACCGTCTCAGCAATTTTTGTCTATCATAATAAACCATTTTCATCTTATCCTTGTATCTCGCTTCCTCTGATGAGGAAGAAAAGTCCCAAACTTGGAGCAACATTTGAAAGTGGAATGCATCATTTAAAAGAAATATTTGTTACTTATTTGTTACATACGTTTATCCAGCTTTCAACAGTGCTAGCTTTAGGCCACTTCCGCAATAGTGTTCGTGCAAACTTTCCAGAATCTTGATACTTGCATGGGGAGGACCGGAAATCGATCGGCTAGCACATGAAATATATCAAATAAAAAGCATCCTCCGCTGACTCTGAAACTGTCTTCGTTATCTGCCAACCGCCTCTGAACGCTGAATTATGTGCTTTCTTTGGCAAAAAAAGAACTCGCAACAAGAACAAATTCGACGAGGATCGCGATGGCCCAGCTTTGGACAGCGGAGCACTCTATGCATGAAAAACCTGTTTAAGATACCTTCACACTTTTTCCTAGCGCTGAAAAACCATAACCACTATTTACCTATATTCGCTACCATTCGTTTGATGCTCTTCAGATTGGTATGTATTTCAAAAAGCCAGTTGACTTTTGGTCCTCCCCTACTTAGCTGAGTGCATACGTTCAAGGATCGAACTAAACATGGGAGATGAACAGCTAACAAAACGGCTAGCCTTAGCATGTAAATCAGTGCTAGATTCAACTTTGTCTCATACAGTCGAACAGTCTAGAGGCAGCTTCCATGTAATTTTTGCAATGCCATGTCACTCAATGGTTGCATTTTTGCATTGCGTAGGGTCCAGTCCGACTTTCTTGATGTCCGTCTTTCATCCGTTCCTCTCATAATGTGACGTAGGGTTGATATCTTGCTTTCGCCACATATTCACTGGATTCGCTTAGTCGCGCAAATAAGATATTTTCTATACTCGTACTTGAAGTCCGACGAGATGTTGCTTATCTCGGATAATTTTCAAAAGACTGCGCTCAAGCGCTTCGTGGGTGGTTCGTAAAGTTTGCAACGTAGCTAAAGTGTCGGCCCAAGTCTCACGTAACATAGCGTAGGACGGTTGAGAGGAATAGGCGAGCGCAAAGCTCCGGGTCCTCAGTTTGCCGGTGGCTGCTTCCTCGGCTGGAAGGCGGTTTACGCTGCTCATTCTCTCCCTGCCTCTAAGTTTTACTCAAATCCTCTCCTTAACGAATGTCCCATAAACACGTAAAAAGACCTCTCCGTGATCGGAGTAGATTTTCCCTGCCTCCTCCCAAGGATTTCCTTCATAAAATGAGTCTCCTTCTTAATCGAGCTTTTGGCAAGAAAAGTCTTTATGTATAAAAAGGGCACTAAACCACTGTTTACCTGTTGGAACAGCTTTATCAAACAGCCTTAAATGAATGTGTGATCTGCTCGAAATGTGCCAGAGCTTTCGTTGGGCATTGTCAACATATTTAGATCGGTAATAGATCCTCGGCTGGCTAGCATACATTTCGTAATTGCCATTCGCTTTTCTATGAAGAGTTATAGAGCATGTTCCCACATTGTGTCAGCGAAAACGCTGATGTTAGTATGGAATTGCCGCTCGCAACCCGTGATGGGCAAATGGCACAATGATAAGGGATCGCAATTGTGGTGGGACCAAGACAGAGGACTTCTGCAACGCTCCTAGATTACCTGCTTTAATTCCTAGTGCATGTTCTTTTCTTGTCAGTCTTACTCGAGGAACGACTGCAAACATGACAAGCTTGTCTTGATAGATTGTCATTTTTCCCAACTAGACACTTCTTCTTTCACCCTGTGCTAGTGATACATGAACTGCTTTGATACTCGACACATTTTGAGCAAATTTGGGCAACTTTTTTTCCAGTTTTACAATTTTTTGATCCAAAAAACTCCCATAATTTGACATTCAGAGATGCTTGGCACACAATAAAGGCAGATTTGGAATCATTCTGCAATATCTCAAAGCAGTATGGATCTCATGTATAAAGGCCACCTAGACTTAACACGCATCTCTTGTTAGATGAAGATAGCAAATGAAACAAGATTCTACATACTATCATGACTTATAATAAGCGGCTAAGGAGTTCACGTCTTTTTGTCTGTGTGTGTGTCTGTCCGTTACGAAATTCGTAGAGCGTCTTCCAGCCAACATCCTGAGCCCAAATTTGTATAGAGCACGCTACTAGCATGAAAGCTCACTGTACAAAAGCTTGAGCGGATCCGTTGAGTGGATCCATTGAAAACTGCGCGTCAAACGGATCCACATGGCTTCTGGCCAGCAAATTTGGGTCCGTACTGCTATTTTTTGCAGAGTTATGGATATATTTGATAAGTTAGTGTGCAAGCCATGGACGTTAGCCTAAAAAAGTGATGAAAAGTCTACTACTTTACGAAAACAGCGCCAAAAAGCACTGGCTATGTAAACGGTCAATTTTCCAAAATTTTACCTAATCATTTGAGAAGATTTTTGCACAGAGATGTAGCTCACGATGTTTATTGTCCTTATGGCTACTACGAAGCCATAAAATTTCCAAAAACCTATTCAAATTTGGATCTGTTCTTCTGGAAAAGATTTCATCCATGCGAAAATACCGATCTCACACGAAAAACCTTTAGGAATGAGTAGTTGCTTACGAATCATTCGTAATAGCTTACACAGCGCGGTGAGTTTCAATGTAATTATTATGCGGAATTGAGTACGGCATAGATAAGGTAGGGCCAGTGCGAGCCTCTGCGAAGCAGAGGTGACGCACTGGTAGAAGAATAAGTAAGCGCACATTTTACATGATAGGTGTTAAAAGGGCCGGGCATACTTCACGCGATTTTAGTCGCAACGCGATTTGGCAATTCGTCAGAAGTCTTCAGATCCAACACTAGCATTCCGCACGTGCACACCGTGTATAGCTTACGTGGATTGATAAAATGCCCTATTCTCTGTACATTTGAAATGTGCTTACAGTAAGTTATGGAGAGTTGGAATATTGCCAAGTCGCGTCACGACTGAAATCGCGTGAAGTGTGCCCGGCCCTGAAGGCAGTGTCTCACCAAAGTTTGGTTGACAAGATTTTTGCATAGTGTAAGCCTTTTTGTCCCTGGGTAACCCAATGCGGGAGCACCTTGGAGGTGGGAGCCAAGTGGACGGACATGTTGTAACGCGTAAGGGGGAAACCCAGAGTCGGCCGTGCGGGCCAAATCGCGCTTTGCTTTGAGGGCAAATTTCTCGGCATAGAAAGGCTCGTACCAAGCCGGACTTGGAGCGTTCTCCTGTTCGGGAGGTCCTGCAACAAAATTTGTGGAGACTCGAACTACCCCAATATTGGTGAGACACTGCCTTTAAGGGGCCGCGCATACATCTTGCAATTTCATCGCCTCGCGGTTCTCCCTACAAGGTAACTGTTACGACATTGCCTGCCGATCATCTTGCAATTTGATTGTGATAGTTAGTCGCAATTAGTCGAGTGGGGAACTACCACAATCAAAATGCAGGATGATCGGCATGCAGTGAACTCGTAACAGGGGTAGGGGAACGAAAGCAGCCAGTTCGGGCCGCCTCCGCGGACTAGTGGTCTGAACGACATGCCTCATTACTGCAAAAGGACCAGTTGGCCTTACGGCGGCTCAAACTGGCGGCCTTCGTTCCTCTTACCCCGTAACAGTTGTCTTGTTGGAAAAATCGCGGGGCGATAAATCGCATGATTATACCGGGACCTTTACTATTTGGACTTGAGGCTTCTTTATAGTTATTTCAGAATTTTCTCATTCCTTGGTTTATGTCTTTTCTTCCTAACAGAATTGCAACCAATAATTGTCGCATATGTCTATGAACACTCCATTATATCAATAGCACAGCACACCAACTTTAAAACGCACAAACAGCTAAATCGACACGAATCTGATTACGCAGTAGGAACGGCGTCAGAGCGGTATTGGGCTATCTCATCCGGAGGTAGTTTTATTTACGGACACTCTGCCATGGGCATGTCATCCCGCTCATACCTCTTCCACGCCAATATCCTTGAATGTGGCAGTTAGTGTTCTTTAGTGATAGAGCAACAGCATCAGATAGTCTTGGTGTCACCTAGAATTGGCAAAAATTACTTCAGTGCCAAAATGACAATAATTAGTTTCTTAGTCACCTTAGCCAGTTCCAAGCATGATTTCACTGTCAGGTAGTCAGTAATTTTCACTAAAAGCTCAATAGGAAGGTCATTCTGGAATTCAGCAGTCTTGTCACGAGCACAATCTTAGTAATGAGGAGGAAGTGAACTTCAGAAGATCTAATGTATCCTCCAATTGCAAATCTGTAATAGACACACCAGACCGACTGGCATCCATCAAGATCAAATTCAAAATGCAACGACCTTTTTCAATATATTTATCAATTTTTATCAACATTTACTTATCAGCAAGTTTCTAGATTATACTTTAGTATTAATAGATGAAATAGCTGTATAATTCCGAGGTACTTTTTTACACCTAATTCATCGAACAAAAGCGACTGTATATGACCAAAGTGAAGATGCAAAATTTATAATAGCAACTCTGAACTGAACCCGGATATATCAACAATCCGAAAGCTAACTAATCCAGACAACAGCTAACGTATGGACGTTCAAGAATTGAACTAGGTTCTCTTTGCGTGATTTGGGGTAGAACCAAGGCTAGCGACATAGTCGAGCCATTGTTATTCTGTGTATTGCACAACACACATGACACTCCACGGCATGTGCACGTCGGAGTTTCAGCAGTTTCCTTAGTTCTTTTGGCTTTTTGAGGTCAATACGTAAAAGTTAGTGGCTGCCCCAGGATTTGCAGGGGGGGGGCGAAATTTTTTTAGGGTGCTTCCCAATAATTTTGCTACCCTTAATCGCGACATTCCTGAAGGAGGGACGATGAAACTAGTATGAATTTTGAACTTTTTTTCGAAAATTATTTTAATAACTTGAAGATATGAACAAGTCACATCCACATCTCTATAACTCACCAAGTAATTTTAATTCAAAGCTGTCAGAGGGCGCGGATCACCGACCTACCGATCTTCAGTGGCGGGAAAAAATGCCCGCGCTGACCCCTTCGGCAGGGTATAAATACCGGAAGTCAGCGGGAGGCCTGGGAGTCCGCGCTGAGGAAGCGCTAGCGGGATCTAACTCCGTCGAAGAGAGGCGGATCTCCCCCTTAGATAGAGAGTAACTAGTAACCTGCCGAAGTGGTCAAAGTAGGTAAAGCCCGTCGTTTCGTTGTGCCTTCTTCAAGTTACGCATTCTTGTTTCTTGTTGTTTGTTGCCGTTTTTCTGAGATAAATTATTAGTCGTTCAATCCGTGTTGTCTATCGATCCGGTTAAAACCGTTATACCACTAGACACCCCCGGTTACAAAGCAACTTTTAAAATTTCCGCGACTCATTCTCAAGATTCTTTTACGCCCCCTCGCCCCCTACACATTGTTCCGTGTACCATCTAAGTCATGAATAGCTCAATATGTCGTCAGTCAGATAAGTCATTGCACATTCCCTTGACTCATGGATCACCAAACATGACATCAACAAGGTTTCAATATATTATAGCAAGTGTCTCACGATGACCTAAAGAACCCGAACATTCATCAGTGGTGATCAGCTTTTGCACTTTGAAACCATTCACATTCAGACACTCCATCCTGAGAAGTTTTTTCATTATTTTATGACGAATGAGAATCACCCATAAACGCACTGCATTGTTGCCTCCTCCTCGTTGTCCTTCTTTGTCTCTCTCAGACATATCCTCGTTACAATGACGCTTTGCGGGGATTTGCTTGAAAGATTTTGTCATTCATGTATTCTTGGTCACCGTTAACGTCTATAGTTCCTTGTTTTGTAATATGTTAGCGAATTATTGTGATTTTTCTGCGAAGAACCGCTCTAAGCTATTTCTATGAAAGTTATTGTATACTTTTGTATTATTCGAAGTGGAGGGTGTTAATAATACAATACCATGAGGTCCTTCATCATCGACGAACACTACATACATTATCAAAAAATAAGATGTACTTTGCAAGTTCTACGTGGTGATTTTCTGAGGAGAAAAACTGGCTAATAATTTAGGATTGTTCATTCTGCATAGGTGGCACTCGAAGACCATATACTACTATATTTCGGCATTTCTCATATAAGTAAGGATTTCTCAATGACAGGAAAGGTCTTTGCAACTGCGTCTACTCAAAATGCCTTAAAAATGATTAACTCGTTTTTATTGCTGTGCTATTCTTTTTGCTTTAGTTGTCTAAATTCGCAAGGAAAGAGCAGTTCAATGCTTAACAGTTTTGAAAGACTTTAAAGATATTTGTTGGTAAGTGAGTAAGCCAGTCGAGGTTAGTAGGTCTTTATTGTTAGTGGCGGCCTAACGTTTCGAACAAATCGTCGTCTTCAGAGGCCTCCTCCACCGTCGGCACGCGGATGTCAGGGCGGCCGTCCTTGGATGCCACTAGTATCAGTATTACTACGACGATTTGTTCGAAACGTTAGGCCGCCACTAACAATAAAGAGCTACTAACCTCGACTGGCTTACTCACTTACTAACACACCATACTAACAATGCCGAGGTTCAAGAAAGAGGAAACTTGGAAATTTGTAGATATTGTTGTTTGTAGTATGCTTCTCATATAACTAAAGGCTGCAGTTATACAAAAAATTATGCAACCTGGTTGCAGAAACTGTGCTTGAAATGATGCAGTCTTAATCTTGCCGTGAGTGGACCCGCGCGGACATCTGCAACGAATGACTTTTCTTCATAGCACTTCATGTTAGATGTCCGCGAGCGTGGGGCCTATTGGCGACCTACTGTCCGTGCCACTGTTTCAAATTCGACAATTATTAGAGACTAATAATTTATATAAAGGAGCCTTAGCATCTTCTTTCTTGCGCAGCATTTCGACGTGCCTAAATCATTTTCTGGGATGAGGGACGGCCGTTGGGTCCAAATTAGATTGAGGTCTTTCGTAAATACCACATATCTGCAGCCTAGGATAATAGCGTTGCAATCTTTGATTCGTCATCAACACAGGAACTTTACGAGGCTCTAGTAAACATTCTAATCCGCCAATGCCCTTCAAAGGCAAAACATTTCAGTGATCACGAAAGCGTTCGTATCCCTGGACGTCACTGAATAATCTTGATGTCTTTATCCGACACGAACAAAGACCATCCAACTCACACTTCATGGAATGAGCGTAGGCAGTGGCATATAAGCAGTGACATGAATTCTTGATGAGTAGAGTGACGGACAAGCCTACGTTATTGCCCATAATGCACTTCGACCTTTACTTCTGCAACAGCTGTCTTATTCTGGATTTCGACGAGATTTCTATCATTTGATTTGATTTCGCGCACAAAAAAATAACTCACTTTTTTCAGCGACTAATTTTTAATGTCCTGAAATTGCACTACTGTCCGACTTTAGAATTCCTGACGAGAAGTCCAACATGTGATTGTTTCGCCCACAAAAAAATGACTCGACTTTTTCATCGACTAATTTTTGTCTCCTCACTAGGATTTTAACTCAAACCATCATGCCCTATGAAGTACTGTTGTTTGACTCAAAGATTTTCATCGCAGGAGTGCGTAGGAGTGGGGGGGGGGGGGAGGAAGATAGGGTAAGAGGCGAAGAAATTGAGAATTCTTGAATTTTGCAAATAATATTTGACAGGAAATTTCGCACTTTTTTTGGTTTTACAGCAAAAACTGGTAAAAAAGAGCATGGTGGTATCTAAGCCTCCAAAAACTATTTTGAGATGTCCATAAATTTTTTCAAGGCGTATCATTAAATCTTGGAATCTGAATTTGAACTTGAACGTGGATTTTCAAAAAGGGAACATGTTAAGCTTATTGATTTTCTGAGATAAGCTGGGATCCTAATCATCAGAAAATCAGGTTTTCGCTTTGAATTTGATAATTTTCTTGATTTGCGAATTCAAAAAAACTTACCGACTCTCTCCACACCTTGACCTTCGGCTTGCCAATGTAAGTGCTCAATTCAAGTTAATATCATAAACGCTTATGTGATGATTTGGTATGAGTATGATATTGGTACGAAAACATTTGGATTGTGACTTATCATCATGTACATTATTCTAATTTGGAGACAATCCATAAAAATTCTATCGCAATATTCGATTCATTTTTGTTCAGTTCTTTACGCTATCTGTTTCCTTTAACATAATTTTTCATAAGCTTTCAGAGTTTTTTTTCAAAGTGCAGCAGAATTTAGCTTTTCAGGTGAATTTTTGGAGAGAAAGCCCACAGAAATTGCTCCCTGACGCAATTATTCAATTTTTTTTAGTGCCAGGGAGCTCTAAATTCGAACATGATGGCATTACTAGTCTGTTTATTGCGTAGGTTCAACTAGCCGCGTAAAAGCGAACAAATCTCGGCAATAATAGAAGCTCATAAATAATGTCATTTGCAGTTACCGTCGTCAAAACACTCGCGTCCGACACCGACTTTACTAAACGGTGAACTTCTTGTTCGTAGACTGGGATTATCGCCCGACTTTGGCCTCTATTTGCAGCTATTTAAGCCGATTATCTGTCCATATCAATAGAACTCTTGCCGTCTTTAGATTTGGTTATGAACAACAGTCTGACTAGAAAGAGGGAACGGATGCTATAAGGGTGGGGGAGAGGGGGGGGGGATTAGAAGGCAGGAAAGACTGAAAAGAAGCGAACAAATTTACTTCCGTGGGACCTTGTCGTTACAAAGGTCTGTCAAGTGGAAGTCCTCGAAAGTTTGAGCTGTTTACGTAAAAACAACATCGGCTTCACTTCCTCTGTCGAATTTATCGAATAATCTCAAAAAAATCCAGAACTTTCTCTGCTAGTTTGAAAATTTTGACAAGAATTTTGACAAATTTCGTAGTGGTAAAATTGCCCTTATTCACCTCGCTCCCTCCCCCCCCCCCAAAAAAAAAGACGCAATAGTACTACAAATCAAAAGCTAACATTTTTTAATATCTTTTTTTAAATGTTTCATTCATTCTATCGTATTTTTAGATGCATTCAGTTCATATGTTTGTTACATGGATTCTTTCGTTAAAAACAATTAAATATAAAAATTGTTGTTACGATTCGAAACTTCCTCTTTTCTGCTAAACTCACAGCTGCAAAATCCTGAAAATTTGCAGAAACTTCCATTTTTTTCGGGAGCATTTGCACCCATGGTATACTTAATCGTCTTGCTCTGCTTTCTTGCTATTTCCTAAACCAATCCTACATACATGTGCCCGAAAATTACGGAAACTTTCTTGGTTTTTACACCTATATAAAGTGCACAATATCTTACCAAGTCTAATCTCTGCTTCGC